TGAGCCTTAGCTTAGAAGTATGTATAAGTAATGTATAATTGATCAGGTATTCTTTTTGGCTGTATTACTAGGAGGTAGAACTCCTTTCATAGATGAAATCATTGCATAAGCATCATAAAAGCTCTCTGTTGCAGTTGTCTTACAGACCGGAGAGAGTGCTAGTGAATGCTTTTGTCTTCGGTGCCCATCTGTGGGGAATGTTGAAGGTGGCGTAGCAACTGGGCATTATATTATCACCTGGAAAAGGTAAAGTTATATCAGCCCTCTCTTTTCCTCATTATCTGTGCTGTTGTAATGCCTTTATTATTTGTTAACATTCAATCATCAGTCCTGGAGAGCAGACTAGAGAAGTCACAGTATCACTGATCATTTATCAAAACACAAAAATTTAAAAGGATGATTAATTTTTATTTGTGTTTGCCCCAGTTTGTGACCTATATATGTGATGAAATTTTAGCCAAATGAGTTTTGATGATAGGACCATTAAAAACATGGAGAAAAACTGCCATTATTTATAGTCATTAGGATTGTTCACAAGCAAACCCAAGGGAATCAACAAAATAGTAGAACTGTAAGAATTTCATCAAGGTTGCTGGATATAACATCAAAGTATGAAAATCAATTGAATTTTTATGTATCAGTAATAAACCTCTAGGCAATCTACTTTGAAAATAGGTGTCATTTATATAACAGCAAAAACGATAAAATATGTAGGAATATGTCTAATAGAAGGTGTATAATATCTCTCATTGTGGAGAAAATTATAAAACTTTAAATAAAACATTAAAGGAAGACCAAAATAAATGGAAGAGATCCAAAATGTTCTAGGGGAGGATTTAGACTTAGTATTGTAAATTTTTCTACAGGTTTAATGTAATTTCCTTCAAAATCTCAATAGCTTATTTTGTTTTTGTGGAACTTCACACTCTTGATTCTAAGAGTGTGAAAGGCAAAAGTCGGAAACAGGATACTCCAGAAGAAGAACTAGACGAGGGTGCTCACCCTTCTCAGTCCCGAGACTTGCTGTAAAGCTCCAGTGGGCATCACTGTGGTATTGACTCAGGGGTAAATAAACCAGTGGAAGAAGAGTCTAGAAACAGATCCATAGATCTGTACATATGGAAATGATAGTTTACAGAGATAGCATTGTAGGTCAGTGGGGAAGGAATCAACTGTTTTATAATTTTTGGTAAACAATTGAATATCCATTCAAGAAAAAATTGAATCTCTTCACTGTATATACGAATCAGTTCCAGGTATACCGAAGTTCTAATTATGGAAAGCAAAACCATTTTTCTTAGTAGAAAAATATGAGAATTGCTTTATGACTGGTGTAGGAAAGAACATCTTTAAATGAAACAAAAAGTATAAGCCACTAAAATTGTTGAATTTGATTTCTTGAAATCAGGTTTCTCAATTCCCTAAAAACACCATAAAGAACATGAAAAGACAAAATACTGGGAAAAGCTATTTGGAAATGTAAAAATAACAAAGGATTAGAATTCATATCAAGAACTTCCACAAATCACTAGAAATGTGCAAGTCTCCTAACAAAGTTAAGCCCAGTGCTTGAGTAAGCAGCTTAAGGGAACTAGTAGAAGTCAGATGGCCATTAAATAAAGGGAGAGAAGGTCAGTCTTACTGGTAATCTGAGCTTGAAATGTACTCCTACTAGTTGGAAAAAATAAAAAGGTTTAACAGTGCAAAGTCAAAGAGGTGGAGTATAAATTACGACAGTTGCTTTGGAAATCTGTTCAGCAGTACTGGTAAAGCTGAAGATGTCTGTACCCTGCAGTCCTAGGAAAGGTCTCAGATATGTACACAAAGGATTTTTGTGTAAGAATGTTCATCGCAGCACTGATTATAATAGTAAAAGTTTAGAAACAAACTAATTGCCCATCAACAAAAAGTGGATAAACTGTGGCACATTCATACAATGTAATACTATGTATCAGTGAAATGAATGAACCAGAGCTATACCTATTAACCTGTTAAGTAACCAGAGCAACTGCAAGTGTTTATATATATATAACGTTATATATATCACGCTGGAAAACATGTCAGATATATTGTGTGTTTCTTATGGCAAAATACATATTTTGGAAAAGTGTAAAGAAAAACATAAGAATGGTAGATGCCAAATTCAGGATAGTAGTTCCTTCTAGAGGGAAAGGTGAGGATGCAGGCAGGAAGGGGGACATAGGGAGAGTCGACCATATTTGTATGTTTTCTTAGGCTGGGAGGTAGAAACATGATATGTCAGGTGTTTTCTAGGTGTGGCTCAATTTCATAGATTTTAAAACAATTCATTAAAAATGAGAAGGGAAAAATATGTGATTTTATTTTAAAAAAATCAACTTGTCATTTCTCCTATTTTGTATTTATCATATTGATCTTTAGTTTATATATTTATAGGAAGTAAAACAGCATTTTGAAAGTACTGCTTAATTATTCTATCATGTTACCATAATGCTGTTAATGTGTTTCTTGAATGATGAGGCTTAGATGCTCTTTCTTGGTAACAGTTGCACAGTGTCAGCGGTTCCAGGTCTCCGTGCAGACCCTCTGTGAGGGCCTTCCTGGGCACTCAGCTGCCAGCTGCCCCTGTAGGTCCCACCCTAACTAATGTCGGGAAAAATACTGGACAGTTTGATAATGTTACTCACTTTATCTGAGTAATGTTGGAATGCTACTGCGTTTATTGATAGTAAAACATTTTTAGTTTCTCCTGTGTACTTGTAGTTACAACAGTGCACTTTGAAGTGGTCTGGTGTTCATCTGTGACCTGTCCTCGGGGGGATAGGTGGTCGTCATGATACACAGCGCCTCACTGCTACCACAGGGAGAATATTAGGCTGC